AGGTCCATTTAGCTATTAGTGTAAGAGGTCAGGGAGAAAAGAAAACTGAGTAACTGTAAAACATTTTTGAGTAAATAACAAAATAATTAAACATACTTGGAATAAAATTATCCAAGAAGAGTTAAGAAGATGATTAACATAATGAAAATCCAAAAAACTTCAACTTATGTTCAGAACAGATAATAGAAAAATAGTAAGCAAAGAGAGAAAGTGAGTCAAACAGATAGAAGAATCAGAGGAGTCAAGAAAGTGCTGTTTTCAGAAAGAAATGAAAAGCATTAAATATCAAAAGTAAACAAAAATTTAAAAATAAATGAGCCAGGCATGTTAGCACATCCTGTAATCCTAGCACTTTGGAAGGCTGAAGATGAGAAGATTCCAAGTTCAATCCTAGACTGGGCAACTTTTATCTTTATTTCACAGTATGCTAATCAAGACAAATTTTGAAAGTAAAATACGTTATTTTAAAATGTGTTTCATCTGTAATGTTTTTACTCAAAATTTAATTCCAATCACTATATAAACTTGAGTATTATTCTCCAGGGGCATACACTGCTAAGTAATTTGTCCAAATGTCAACTGCAATTTTCGAAAATCCTTTCTACCCTAAAATTTTAAACATCTGTAAAAAGTACTTGTTTTCAGAGTATTTTATATGCATGACACTTGACCTTTTGTTCTACACACCACAAAATTCAAATCCATGAAAGCAGGAAATACCATGCAAGCAGGAAATCTGATCATTCTTGTAGTAGCCATCTGCTTGGCCAATATCAAATATTAGTTCTAGATTGCATTAAGTCATGTGTTACAAATCTTTTTCAGCAGCCTCTATAATTACTTGTAATTTGTCTATTTTAAAATATGTTTCTTATTTTTTAACATGGAGCACTACATGGGTGGTATAACCAAATCCAGACTTTTATTTTTTTTTCAGACTTTTAAAAAATATATTAAGTTCCAATAACAGATGATGATTAACCATTTAAATATCACCAATGCAAATGTAAAATAAAACTGTGTTGCACTATAACTACAGATTCTAAATCAATCTCTCAAATACTGAATGTTTTCAAAATAAATTTTCATAGGAATATAATACTGTTCTGCTTACTTCCAGGAGCCACAATACTGAAGTTAAACTGGATACCCTATGATGAGTGTTATCATTATGTATGCCTAAAATGTACCAAGAAATGTTTTGCTATTTAAAAAAAGTTAAACTGGATAATACAAGCTTAGAATGAAAGATCATAAAAAGAAAAAAAAAAATGTTGAGTCCAATGGGTTGATACAATAGTTCATAATAACCTTAATTTCACACAGATTAAAATTATATTTACAATACACTAAAATTGCCTTAATACTTATCAACTGACTTAAAAATAAAAGGTATATGCTAAATGTATTCTAAGGAAAAAAAAGTATTCTAAGGAAAAAGGAATAAAATTGAATGACAAACCCACTACTTTTCTACAAGATAAAAGTAAAAGCATTCTTCACAAAATGCTGCTGTCCTGACCTATTTGCTTCTTAAGACTAGAAAATTTTTGGCAGATATTCCTCAAAACCAGTAATATACCTTTGCCCATAAATAAATTTAAAAAGTCAAGAAATGTAATATGAATCAGAGAAGAAATACCTGAAATAATCAATTTCTGATACCAAAAGTTCAAAAACAACAATGAATTCTGGTGTTAATGTACTTTTATCTCCCCCCCAAAAAAAACCCGAGAAATTTTCTAAGTTAGAAATGTCATGTATGTAAGAATCCATACGTCCATTCCAAAAATTCATAAATATTAATGTAAAAATTAGCCTGAATCAGACCTCATTTCTATTGTGAATATGGGTAATAAGGAATCCACATGATGTCTATTAAGGCTATGACTAAGCAAAATTTGTATGAAAACATCCTTTAAATGTTTTACTCAAATTTAAAAACACCTGTCTATAAATAATGTTACTTTAATAGGCATGTAAAAAGTACATAAGGTAAGATTTATGTGACAACTGACATTCCAAAAGTTAGAAATATCAAGTGTTGTACCTATTAAAATTCAGTAAAATAAACTAGGGTTCAATAATTTCTTACCTGTATTCCATCTTTAAGTTTCAAAATGCATTCCATTGTATTGATAGTAATTACCACTGGTTCTGAACCTAGTTTTGTCCATGGTACATGAATCCTCAATTCATGAATATGTCCACTTAAAAAAGTGAATGGTAATTTCAGCTCCTTAAAACACAAAACATTAAATAAAACATAGTAAGTACTTAAATATGTTTATGTTAACATCCAACTCTTTCTTGAAATAAAAATGAAATCCCAACACAAAAATATTTTGGGTATAAAAAGTAGAATCAAGTAACAAACAACTGTTAATGACATGCTACAACAGCTTATTTTGCAGGTTACACTTAATAAATCTCCTCTTCTGCTTAATAATTATATACAATATCTGGTATATGATAAAGGCTCATATGTAGTACTGGTATCATTCATAGCAGTAGACAGTAGTAGAGAAATACATACAATGGCATTTTTCTTAAATCTTTTAAAATATGTCCTCAAAAGGTTTTGTATGCAATTTAAAAGGGGAGAGGGAGGCTTAACTGGCAATAGAGGAATGACCTAATAAAATGAAAACTGATCAACCCACAAAAACAACTTATTCACCTTACCTCATTAAAACTTTGACCTGGACACTATTTGATCATAAATTTTAAATGTTTTCTGGCTGCTTTCCATTAGACAACTAATTAGAAATAAAAATGTAAACTTCACCACAACCATTTATATTAATGTTTCTGTAACTGAATGTCACATTTTTATAGCTATGTAGCTATTTATAAAAGTTAATATAAATACTACATTTATTCATTTTTTGTTCTCTCCTACTTGATTTAGCAACATCACTAAAATTCAGGCAGTGTAATAAAGTGGTTGTACTCAGAAATTCCAGAGTCAACAGATACAGAATTTAAATTCTATCTTTACCAGTAAACTACCAATCACACTGGGAAAATTGTTTTACGTATCTTTGCCTCCATTTCATTATCTGAAAAAAATCTGGATAATACTATATCTTTTAAGGATTAAATAATTTATATCAAGTGCTTAGAAATCTCTTCCTTATACAGAAATCATTAAGAAGATAAGTACTATTATAAAACTGTGGGTCTAACTTAAATCTTCAACAAGAGCTTCTTTAAAATTTAAACTAGTAAAACCTATTATTATTCTGTGCTAATGTGTAAAATGTCACAATATCTCAATATTTCTCAATTTTATATTAAGTTGAAAGATGAGTAATGTATTCAAGTGCTATTCAACCTGCACAAGATTACACACTGATCAGTCTGCAATAAAGACAGTCAATTCATTACGTACTAGTTGCTATTCTAAACACTTTACCTACATACAATAATTTAATCATCAGAACTGGAGGGAAATACTATCATCTCCAGTTTATACAAAGAATACAAATATGAAGAATATGAAGGCATGAAGAGTTCAGTAATGTCCCAAAATAAAACATCTGGTAAAGACAGGACTCAAAACTGCAAAATAGGATGCCAGAGCACCTGCTTTTAATCATTAATAATATTGCTTCTGTATTTCCATTATGAGCATCAAGCACATTTACACTGGCTATGCATAAAGCTAAATCCCTGGCCCTCCATTTTTTTATCAAGAAAGTTGTGATATACAAATAAAAACACATAAATACCTTCTAAAAGACAAAATGCAAATATTGGCTGTTATAACAAAATGGACCTTGAGAGGCCATATTCTTAAGGGGAATAATCCTACAAGAAGTTATAACACTTGTAAACATATATGTACTAAACACAGGTACACCCAATTTTAGAGACATGCAGTCCAATAATAATGGATAATTTCAAAATGCCATTCTCACCAACAGATCAATCACTCAGACCAAAAAAATAAAACAAGAAATAAACATCAGAGTTAAGTTACACTATAGATCATGACTTACAAGACATCTACAGAATATTCCATCCAACAGCTACAGGATACACATTCTCATTGGTTCATGTAACCCTTTCCAAAAATAGATATTTTAGGCCATGAAATAAATCTTAACAAATAAAAAAAAAAAAAAGAACTAATTTTTTGCATTGGATAATAAGGGCATAAAAAGAACCTATACCATCAAGTTGATTTTATTCCAGGGAAGCATATGTGAATAAACACAATATAGCACATAAAATCAGGATAAAAATCACACGATCATCTCAACAGATGCAGAAAAAGCCTCTGATAAAATTTAACACTACTGCATGACAAAAATCCTGAAGAAACTAAGTATAATATAGAAGTATCATTTCTCAACATAATTAAGACTTTATAAGAACAACCCATGGCCAACGTCCTATTTGCATGATGAAAAGATTTCCGATAAAGTCAGGAAGAAGACAGAGTATTCACATTCTCATCACTGTTTTTCAATATATACTTGAAATCTTAAACAGAGCCATCAGGCAAGGGAAGGAAATAAAATGGATACAAATAAAAAAGTACTATGCCTATTAATTTCAATTAAGAGTATGTCCTCAATGTGCATCCACTTAGCTGTAAATGTCTTTAGTTTCTCATTCTTTATGGGTGAGTAGTACTCCATTTTATTTTTTAAAAAACACACATCTTCTTTATCCAGTTTCTAATTGATGTGCAATTGGGCTGTTTCCAAGTTTTGACAAACTGTGCTGCTTTAAGCATGGGTGAGCACAGATCACTGTGATGTTTCTTTTAATTATTTTGGGAAGATACCCAACATGGGAATAGCTGGGTCAAATGGGACTGCTAATCCTAGCTGTTTGAGGTATCTCCATATTGATTTCCACAGTGGTTGAACCAGTATGCACTCCCACCAACAATGAAAAAAGGTTCCTTTCTCCCCATACCCGCTACCAGCATTTGTTAATGGTTTATTTCTTGATAGAAGCCATTCTTTCTGGGGTGAGGTGTATAGATCCTCTGTTGTGATAAACTAAAAGTGTAAATAAGAAGAAAAGGTCTAAAGGTATAGGGGAAGTGGGAGGGGTAGGGGAAAGGTAGGAAGGGAAACTAAAAAAATAAAAGAGGGAAAAAATGGAAACAAAGTCTTTGTAAATAGGGAAGGGTGGAGGGGGTGAAAGGAGACTAGGGGAATGGGGAAAAAATAAGAACCAAGATACGTCATATAAAGGTAAAAAAAATCCCAATGATGAATGTAACTGTATTGTATACCTAAATGTACCAATAAAACTTTTTTTTTTAAAATGCTATTCCTGTTTGCACATGTGATTCACTACTCATAAACCCTAAAAACATCACCAACAGACAGAACTAATAAACTAATTCAGTAAAGTAACAGGATACAAAACTCTCAGATAACATTTTCTATACATCAATAATGAGCTCACTGAGAAATCAGAAAACAAGTCCATTCACAATAGCTTGGAATAAGCCTAACCAAGGAGTCAAAAGACTTCTACAATGAAAATTATAAAATAGGGCCGGGGATTTGGCTCAGTGGTTCCGCCACCTGCCTAGCAAGCATCCAGTGTAAAAATAAATAAATAAATGAGAGAGAGAGAGAGAGAGAGAGAGAGAAAAGAGAGAGAGACAGAGAGATGGAGTGGTCGTCCATGTTCACTAATTGAGAGAGCATCATTAAAATGACCATATTTACCAAACTGATCTGACTCAATACAATCCCCATCAAAATACCAATGATGTTCTTCACAAAATGAGAAAAAATCCTAAAACTCATATACAAGCACAAAAACCCCTGAATAACCAAAGCGATCATGACAAAAAAAACAAGCATTGTTGGAGGCATCACTACACGTTATTTCAAAATATACTACAGAGCTGTAGAAACAAAAACAGCATGGAAACAGAAACATAAATCAACAGAATAGAAAGAGGATCCAGAAATAAAACCCATACATCTACAGCCATCTGATTATCAGCAATGGTGCCAAAAAACACGTTGAAGAAATATCAACCTTTTTGCCAAATAGTGCTAGGAAAACAGATATCCACAAGCACAAGACGTAAATCAGATCTGTCTCACACCCTATGGAAATAAACTCAAAATGGATCAAAAACCTTTATTAAGATGGAAACTTTGAAACTACGAGAAATAGACATGGGAGAAAAACTTCAAAATGTAATCACAGGTAATGATTTCCAGAATTGGACTCCAACGGCTCAAGAAATAAAAACAAGAAATGACAAAGTAGATTACATCTAGTTATAAAGCTGCTCAGAAAACAATCAACAGAGCAAAGAGAAAATCTTTCCAACTATTCATCTCAAATGATTAGTACTATAATTTATTAAAAAATTCAAAAAAGTTACCAAAAATGAGTAAACCAATCAATAAGTAAACACAGAAGACACAGAGACACCTATTGCCTATTTCATGTTTCTGCTCACAGAACAAATCTAAAAAAAAAGACCTGAAAGTAGAACTACAGCAAAAAATGTGCACAATGAAAATGTCACAGTGAAACACTAATTTGTAAAATATGAATTAATATGTATAATAAAAAGGCAAAGACTGTTAAACCATATTTTAAAATATACAAAAGTAGGGCCAAAAATTTAGCTCAGTGGCATCACGCCTGCCTCACAAGTGCAAGGTCCTGAGTTCAATCCCTGATACCAAAAAATAAAAAATGTTTGAAGTATTACGTCTTCTATAAAATACACATTTTTAGATCTGAAAATACAATGAGTTGAAAATGAAATTTTACAAGCTCTATTATGCAAATAAGAAATATAGAAAGATCATTATATTAATAGTAGACAAAATACTTCATGTGAAAAAAATGTTACCAAAGAACAAACAAGACACTTTATAATGGCGAAACTGTCAATTCATGAAGAAATATAAAACATATAAGAACACAGTAACAAACCCCCTAATAAAGCCAAATATAATGAAATTGAAAGAAAATTTAACAATAAGGAGACTAATACAATAATGAATAGAACCAGAAAACCTGAGCACTACCAAACAATTAGATTTAACATGTATACACATACAACAACTGCAAAAACACATTCATCAAAGGGAACTCTGAAAATATGTGAACTGAATAAAATATATGAATAAACATATAAATAATATATATATATATATATATATATGTATATGAAAATGTATGAGATGCAGCTAAGGGTAGAGATGTAACTAGTTATAATAGCAAAAAATTTTA